CAGCGTGGCCGCGCGCGGAGTAGGGCTTCAGTGACCGCGCGCCGGGCCCGCCTCGGGGGCGGAGCAGCAGTGAAACCACCCGCCCCGCTGCCGCCGCACCCGTCCCCAGCGTTTCCACGGGCCCCAGCGGGCAGGGAGCCGCCTCTGTAGGCGCCAGGGGCCTCTTTATGCACTTGTGGCTCCCCGCCCGAGCCCTTCGACGGGTGGGGCTTGTGGGGCGCTGACCGGTCAACCCTGGCCAGTGGCCTCCCAAGAGGGCGCTGGGGGCTCTGCGCATGCGCCGCTTCGCTCCTCGCGCACGGCTTCCTGCCGCCCCTATTTGCGATCAGCTCGGATCAGCCCCAACGTGCCAGGGGCCCCTGCTCAAGTGCAAGCGCTCTGCATTTCCGCGTCCATCACGACGCAGGCCGTTTGTTTTTGAGCGAAGGGAAGTTAATGTAAAGAGCGAACTGGTCAAAAACCCTGACACAGGCATCAGAAAACAGCTCTTACAGGGACGGGGGCGCAGGGGAGCCGGGTGCAGGGGCGCCCCCGCTGCTGTCTGGCAGGCTCAGGGGATGACCCTGCAGGTGGCAGGTGTGACTCCCAGACCTTAGTTGCTAGGTACTGCAGGGGACTGCTTGACCACCGGGGCCAGCAGTGGTGGGCAGCACCTGGGAGAGTGTTCGGGTCGCGATGGTGCGGGGCGGCGGGAGGGGCTCAGGGACACGCACGCACCCAGCGCAGACACGCACCCAGCGCCACTTCCTTTGATGTGGTAAATCAAGGGCCCTGTCTGCCAGGGCCAGGCGCGCCGGCCTTCCGGGGCCTGCACTTAGCAGGAGCTGGGGCTGGGGGCGGGCTCTCCGGACCCCGCGTGATCAGGTGCGCAGGGCCTACCGTCCCGCCACGGGGAGGCGGGTTTGTTCCCTACGCGCTAGTAGGTGACGCCCGATCTCCGCGTTCCCAGTCCCCAGGAGGCCCGCTGACCTGTGAAGGTGTCTTTAGTACTGGAACCAGTAAGATCACTTTAAATCCTTAAACATTTAGTCCGCAATACTTGCCAGCGCATCTTGAAGGCACACCCCACCCGCTGTGTTACTCACGAAGCCCCCCCAGTGCCAGAAACAGCACAGCTGCCTCCCGCACTCCGTGCTTGCGTGGACTCATCCCTCCTGGCCCAGTTCATCACTCAGGGCCCTTGTTTCTGTTTCCCTGAACAGTGTTTCCGCCTGTCTCGTTGCAGGGCTTGGGAGGTGACGCCCCCGCCACGTGTCTGTCCCCCACCGTGCACGAGCTGATCTGCAAAGTCGGGTTCGAGGCCCGCGAGCATCTTGCCGCTAGTGCCGTCGTGAGCCCCTGCGGGGAGGTGTGCTGGCCTGCCTTCACGGGCCGCCTGGTCCCCGCGGACTCAGGTCCGTGCCCGCGTGCATGCCGGTGCCCATCGGCGGCTCTCGTCGACCCCGGCTGCTTGGGGTTGAGGCTCTTCTGGCACAGGCTGCGTCTGAAGGGCAGGGCTTGAGAGGAGGGCACGAGGGCCAAGAGCTGCGGGAATCCGGGGAGCCTGGCTGAGGGGCTGCTTGGGGCCGGGGTGGGGGGTGGCAGGCAGCAGACGCCCCGCGCCGTGCAGGACAGCGTGTGGGGCTGAGTCCCCGGGGCAGTGCAGCGCCTCCCCTGCCGCCCGCCCCGTGTGTGGCGGCTCCTGCAGGCGGGAAGCGTGGGTGTGAGGTAGTCTGCAGCGTTTCTGCAGTAGTGAACAGGTAAGAAGACATCAGCAAGAGCCGAGCCACAGCCCCAGGTGTCGCTTCCGTGGGCGCGGGGGCGGCAGGCGAGAACTCAGCCGTGTCTGCCACGCGGATGCCTGCGTGGCCTTGCAGAGGGAAAGTGCGTTCGTGCCTGCCTTGTGTGTGTCTTCAGAACTGTCGTCAAGGCATCGAGAGCAGCAGCTGCTGGCCAAGGCGCCGTCGCCGAGGACGCTTCACTCGTGTCTCGCTCGTGGGGCCGGTGAACGCCCCGGCCCAGACGCCCCCGGGCAGGGAAGCAGTCGATCCATGTGGCGCTGTCCTAACCCAGCATCCTGGCGGCGCTGGGGCCGCGACTGACACCCTGTCCCCATCTGCAGGCGAGGGGCTGGACTACCGGGCCAGCGTGAGGCTCCTGGGCCCCGC